TACCCTTCATTTTTAATTTGTACTTCTGTGGCGACCGTTTGGAAGCATTCGATCGACGCATAGAAATACATTTGAGGCTGGGCACAAGAAGTAATGAAAGCGACCCGAGCAGTGGGACGAGAAACTCATTCTAATGGCGATTAGGATTTTCAAAGGCATTTTCTACTACCCCTAAAATATGTTGACCTAGAAATATATTGATTCATGTTTACTCCCGAACTCTACCACGCGTGAGGTATTTGGCCGCACCTACCGCACCCCATACCCCCACCCTCCTGGGCCCACTGTCAAGACAGAGTCAAGTAGACAGCAGACCTGATCGGGAGCAGATGTCTGGCTCGGCGTGAATCCGCGGGCACCGGACCCCCTGGACCTCACGACGTCATCATCACTGTTTTTGCCTGAAGTAATGATCGCCAAGTGTTAACAAATTAAATAAGGAGGGGGTCACTTCGTAGGACTTACTGGAGAGCAATGTCGGAACCACTCTACTGTTTCCACACGCACAGATGAACAGGAAAGGTGCTGAGGTACAAACCATATAATCTGAAAAACGCTCGCACAGGACGCCCAGACGTAATTGAATGCTGTTCTTTGGAAAGAACAAATTGAGATGGCCAAGACAAAACAAAAAAAGAAAGACTGGGGTATCCACGCACCAATATCACCAGCATAACCCTCCGTAAACATGTCCCTAGCGCACGGGCTTTAAATGCCTAGATTGATTATTTGGTACAATTCTGGATTTACCTGACGGATAAATCTAAGAATCAAAAACCTGTAAACCAAGCACCACCGTTGTAATGATTATCAGGTAGGTCACCCCCAACCTGCATTTACTGCAACACGATGGTCCATTCCTGGTTTAACTTGATCAAAAATCCTTTTATTCGGTTCGATGAAGTGCTTATGACCCATCTGGTAGGCCTCAGTGGTGGACCGACTGCGCCAGGTGCGTCTGTGCGCATGTTTGTGTTTCTGGTCTCAGCTGCTGGTGGTCAGGGTTATGATTGGCTGAATGAAGGCAGAATAAGCCCGAAACAGTGCTGTATCAATCTACCCGCATTCTCTGTCGTCCCTCCTAGATGTAAAATGTCTCCAGCACCGATCAGTGAAAGCGTGCTCTGATTAAACTTTATGCAGGTTGGCAACCTAATGGGAATATTTTGGAAGATGGCAAACTTATGATCAAACATATAAATAAAGGCTTGCTTTTAAATGGCTAGCAGTAGACCCAACGGTTCATGAGTTTGCAAATTTAATATCTGTATATTTACACAAAAATTATGAAACCCTTCGGGCTTCTTGCTACCGGTACGACTAGTCATTTAAGTCGAAAACCCATTTACTGAGGAATTCCAAGTACCTGTTAGTATTTTGTCCATAGTAATGGCAAAACGTGCATGGTAACTGTGGGAAAAGTTGGTTCCACTAACATTAAAATCCAACTATAGACTATCCCTGACGAAAAAGGAAACAATACGTCTTAAGTAAGAAAATATGGTTTGCGCAGTAATACTATGTAATAAAAGGGACAAAACTAACCGGGTAACGGAAACTGTTAGCAGAAAATCAAAGTAACGATTACAGCAGGACACCCAGAGATTACTCTGACATTTGAATATGTTTGTCACCTGATATCCTGCACATCACACGTCAGTAACTCTTAATGTTCGGGCTACTCTAATTAGTTTCAATGGGTATGAAATATATTGCTACAAACGGATTCTTGTGGACGAGATACAAATCAGTCCCGATCTTCCTAAGGAAAGTGAAACAACAAAGTGCCCGATAGCAGCCGAAGTATAAAGCATGGAGAGTTATTCAGGAGGATCTCAGACATTTTTGTCGCGCCGTTTGCAAACTATCATCCCATTAATTAGAAAACTGGTTTATTTTGGATGTTTTTTGCATACTCATTGTAACTTCCCTAAGGTAAGGTACGAAAGTGTCAACAGTTTTGCCTAGCTTTAGCTAAGAATGAATTTTAAATTGACCTGCCTTCCTATGTCCCGACCAGGGTACAAATCCAGCCTTTATTTAATACCTTTGGATCTTGCATCCTTACGCTTGTGTAAGACACGAACATGATTTTCCAGCATGACATGCAACATGATTTTTACTATATCAGTATGAATTACAATGACTTAAGGAATTTACGGTTGGTTAAACTGCTCTTTCCACTCAAAGATTTATACTTTTACGTTTATAGCGCATAAAGCTACTATGAGAATCAAATGTAAATGCGGCTTGTTTGGTTTGTATTCTCTAAAACGGCTGGCGTAATCCTGTTTGGAAATGACTCGTAATGTAAATTCCCTCTTGTTTAAAAACAGTACACAGTTTGGGTAAGTCCTTTAGCATAGCCCTAGTAATAGAGTAATAATAATATGTGAGCTAACAGATTTTTGAGGCTTAGTATTGGTATATTATGCAAATTCGTTCCTTCAGGCTGACAGGCCATAGTTGGTCATAAATGCTCTTGATGAACGTGTAACGTCTAAGCGTTGTCAGTACCAAGCTATGAAACCCAATGCCTTTTTTATATGAAGCAAACAAATTCTTTGGTGACGCGAACTTACGTTTCAGATCCAATACAAGAGTATAGAACCGCAAGCATTCAGCGAGACAGAAAAATGTTCCTTCATTTGTCACAGTTCTTTCGTTTATTTAAAAAAAATATATATACTGATTTATGCTACATACTTCGGATACTCACGAATAAACACTTAACAGAAAACCAATCCCGATTAGAAAAACTTACACCGCAGGTTAATTGTCTCCGCAAGGTAAATAAACAAATTGGCGTTTATTCTCGATTTTCTGTCCTGCCATTAATGAACCAAAAACTAATTTTACCGACAGGGTTTCGTGAATCCTGCTGAATTAGGAAAGAACTACCCAGGTTACCTACGAAGCTTTGACAATTTTACATGTGCTAACGGAAGTAAATTATGTAAAAATCATTCTCCCTTGCCGGCAAAAGCATCTTATTGATCAAAAAGAAAGTTATTTGTACTCTTTTGTATATAAACGTGTTGAGTAAATAATAAGAGCGGCAATGTGATTGGCAAAAATAAAAGTAAACACTTGAAATAACATACAAAAGTCAGAAAATATAAATTTACACACGATATGAAACTTCTCAATACAAACATAGAGCTTGAGATGACGCTCAGTGTTTTTTGTGTCTTCTAAGTCTGCTGAAAAGAGAGCGTTTTTTTGGTTTTCCATTGTCCTTTCCAGTTGGCTTGCCTGCAGGTGCTGCGTCTTTCTTTTTCTCATTTTGATTCTCTGTTTTCAATTTAGGTACCTCATGAACCGTTTTTTTGCTTTTCGTCTCAGACTCGCTTTCATCCTCCGAATCACTATCATCAGAGTCACTGTCCTCTGACTCGCTCTCTTCGTCTGAATCCGATTCGGATGAAGATTCCTCATCAGAGCTGCTATCGTCCTCCGAGCTCGAACTTTCGGAGTCATCACTGGAACTGCCACTGGAACTGTCACTGGAACTGTCACTGGAACTGTCACTTGAACTGCTTTCACTTTCCGACTCACTCTCTGAGTCGCTTTCTGAATCAGTCTCGCTTTCGCTTTCTTCAACTTTTTTCTTGCTAGGTTCCTCGACTAATTTTTTCTTCGTGTCAGGTTTTATTTGGGCGCCTTTGGGGTTCGAACCTTCCTTTGCGTCCTTCTGTGTAATTTTAATTTTGGTTTCACCTTTCGATCTATTAAATGATCATGAAACGGCCCTGCCATGTATATACCTGTGTTTAAAAAGACCCATTTTTCCTCAAGTGGGTATAATTTTCCCGATGTTAAAACACCTAAAGGGGAAACTCGAATTAAAAACTCAAATTAAAAAAAATATAGAACTCTTAGCAGAAGGGCAACTTACAGAACCGTGTTGTTGGCGAAGCACATTCGCACATTTCTTGGTCCTTTTATAGAAGTTCCCGATGTAACCGTTGACCTTTTAGTAACTCACTTAAAGCAATTCCGATATTCAAATAAACGGTCCAAGTTTCCTTATATTGTTAGTCAAAGCATGTGATTCATCCCAAAGCACCACGCTCCAATAACAGTTGTTCGTGGTTCTGAATCCGTAAAACCGAAACCGCTGTCTCCAATACCTGCCATAAAGATGTAAGGTCGGCAAGTCGGAAGTAAATGCATGATATCTATCATGGAATAGTAAATTTCGAACATTTGATAGGTTTTGCCGGAACCACCATAGGCATGAAAACCAAATTAACACTCGTACCAGGCCAATACACAGGTTGATTGTAGGGATTCTAGTGGGCAGTTAACCGTCCCTGTATGTTAAAAAATCAAACCCCAAAAATCGTTGGGGACCAAACAAGAAATTTAGAGATTTTTAAAAAGAACCTAAGTTTAGAAAATAAGAAAACAATTCAAAAACTCACAGCTCACGAGTCAACAGATAATGAATGAAAGTGCAAGTAGACCGAAAAAATCACAAAGTACGGGCAAATTATCGGTAACGCGGACAAAAGCGAACACATCTGCCCAGTAGAGGGCTACTCTTCATTATTTTCAATCGGCTTTTTTCTAAGTGAGATCTGAGCGTGAGGGCTGAGAGAGCCTGTTGGGAAACCTATTGTGGAACCTAGTGATTTTTTGACGAACTCACAACATTTCAACAACTACCCTATTTTTTGCTCGTTGTTTCCGCCGTCGCTTTTTAGGCGACTGAAATATATCGAGCCTTTCTCGTGCGCTTAGTTCCTGAATGGACCTCGAAGAACGGAATATGCGGTAATAGGACGTACTTTCAAACGCTACATCAATAACAGAAACGTGGATATCCCATATAGTTCATAGTCGCAGAATAGGCGTCATATGGTTCTGGCATTTATGCAAAGCAGAGGTGACCGCTAGAATGAAAGTGTACTTAGGCGTTTATAGAAACAGTTGATCAAATGTGAAAAGAACCCACATGTCTACTGATTATAAAAGTTGGATATTGGCAGATTCTTGAAGCGATTTCTAAGCATTAGCCACTAAATTTGCATTTCGATGCTGATAATTGCCTGCTGAAAGGGATAGCTGAGAAAGACTGCCAGACGGACTTTATTTTTATGAGAGACTTTTATGCATTAACATTCATTAATGTGATATGTAGCCTGAGTTTTCCTAGGTTGCCTTTGACAAAGGATATTCTAGAAGCGAAAATCAAGTTCTCCACACACGATGTGCTTTGACTTCAGTATGAGTGTATGGAGAATAACAGGATTGTTATTTCTTTAGAAAGGATTACGTTGCACTTTCATGAGGGTATTGTCATAGTCTGTTATATACGCGCAAACATAACGTAAACGAAAGTCAGGTAAGGAGACCTTTTGCAGGAGGAAGCTGAGAAATCGAATGTAGTCTGCGGTTCTGAGTTCTCTGGGAATATCAACTAGGACTGGAACCTGTCCAAGCGTGTTTGAAGTACCTCACAAAGAGTCGGAAAATAAATCAGGCTTTAGTGACTGGCGTAAAGCCTGAAGGCCGCGGAAGGGGTTTAACCGGACAACAAAACTACAACGCTCAAATGATACAAAGCCTTGACCTACAAGAATAAGGGCTTCGTTTCTTTGTTAATCTTCCAGTTCCATATAGCTTTCTTAATAAGAGCACGAGCGCTGGGATTCCAGTCCTAATTGGTATAATAAGGAGGCCTCCACTAATCGGAACGAACAAACAGATTTTCGCACTTTTATCAGTTCTTTCAGCATTTTAACAAGTGAGCCAAATTTCACTTTATTTATTCACAAGGTTGTCGATAGTTCAACAAGTACAAGCATCCATTTCTGTGAACAGCTTGATTTCATGGGACTAGGAATCCTGCGGCGAGGTTGATCTCTGTGGTTGGGGAAGATTGTAAAGATACTCACATTCAAATTGGCGCCAGGAATTACTGAGCCACTACATGTTCTGTCCTTGAATCGTTTGATTACCGGATTTTTCTCATGACCCGGAGAAGGATGCACACTACGCTCATCTCTGCGTTTGCGACCGATTACGGACGTGCCAGTTTGAGCTGCGTGTTCAGCGAAGTCATGGGTAGGCTTAACAGAAAAGAGTCAACGGGTTCGGAAATCACACTCCCTTATCTTACACCTGCATAGTCCTGAACGCAACCGACAGGAAAACGAGCACGTGACTCAGTGCTGGGGGACATTGGACCCTTAGCCAACTGGTCGCGTGGTCGAGCACCAGCTATGCCGCAGCACGGGGCTGGGTGTGACCGGCAGACGACGGCTAATAAGCCAAAGATGGCTATTTCAGTCTCCCCTGCCTTTATCGATAATGCTAATCTGCCGATATTATGCACAATTTGAAGCTGCTGGTTGGACACGATAGATAGCCCTAAGACACATCGCAACGAGCTAATTCCGTAACACGTTCGGTGAGCGTTCTTCTGTCATTGATAAGTCTCCCGTGTTATTGCTGGTTTATATCAGTTTAAGTCAGTTTATTAAGGGAATGAGGCTTTCGTCCTTGAGCTCCCTAATGATATCACTAAGCAGAAATAAAGTCATCAATCACATCAGCAAATACGGAAAGTTAAAAAGTTAGCGGTAACTCTGAGCCAAGCACAAACTGCCGCCGCTAAAACAATCATTATTATATGCACAGTAGTTTCAACAAATGAGCATCTAGTCTACACTTAAAGGATTTGACACTTTCGGAAAGGACCACGGCATCAGGGAGTCCGTTCCATGCCTCAATGACCCTGTGAGAGAAGGCGTTCCGTCGGAAGTCCGACTGAGCCAGCCTCCTCTGCAGTTTGAAGGAATGACCACGCAGACGGTCAGTCCCGGCTAATTCGAAGAATTCATCAACCTCTAGGGCGAACTCACAGCCTCTGACAATCCTGTAGGTTTGAATGAGATCGCCGCGCAGTTGCCTGTAATTTAGAGGAAAGAGATTTAGTTCGATCAGCTAAGGCAGATGATGATGATGATGATTCTTAGCCATATTGATAGCCATCGCCTGTACTCCTTCCAGTCGTTGGTAACCTTCCATTAACCACTGTCGCCAGGCCTGGACTGCATACTCTAAGTGAGACCGGACGAAGGCTCCATAGGTTTTTCCGAACAGCTCTTTATCGGTCTGCCCAAATCCTCGCCTCAGCGGTACACCACTTAGAACGGGGGTAGGAGTTGAACTTGAGGCCTCAATGCACACGGTTTGCGATCTCCCAGTAAGGAAATCTGTTATCCATGTCAGCAGCCTTCCTCTTATCCCAATTTCAGAAAGTTTGTAGATTAGGCGTTTGTGTGGGACGCTGCCGAACGCTTTCTTAAAGTCTGTGTAGATGACATCGACCCTACCATCCTCGTCCAGTCCGCGAGGCCACTGCTCCGTCGAGAGCAATAAACTGGAAAAGCATGAGCGGTTCTGCCTGAAGCCATGCTGCAGGTCTGAGAGTAAATGTCCCTTCTCCAGGAACTTCACTGTTGCTTTCTTAACTATGGCCTCCATTATTTTACAGCAGATACAGGTTAGACTGACAGGCCGGTAATTGTTGGCATTAGTGCCAGCCCCGCCCTTGTATATCGGATAAATATTTGCTGTCTTCAATTCCGATGGCAGCCTCCCTAATTCGAATGACGAGCGGAAGATGTGTGCCATGGTTTGGAGAGTTCATTTGCCAGTTCTTTCACAAATTTGACCGGTATGTTGTCCGGACCCGAGGACTTTGCTTCCTTCAGATTTTGCAGTTCCCTTTTCACGACAGCTGCCGGGAAGAGTATGGAGTCAAGCATGGGACCAGCAGTCTCAACAGCATTGCTGGCACTGTGACTGCGAAAATCTGTTTCTCTCGTAAAAACCGAGGTAAAATACTACCCAAAGTGTTTGGCTTTCTCGCTGTACTCAATGATTTCTATACAATTATCATCCTTCAGCACCGCGACCGGGTCCTTATTTTTCAGTCTATTGTTAAGATAGTGAATTAAAATCTTGGTCTTCTGTTCAGCCTGTCGGATAATTTTGGATTCATAATCCATCGGTGCCTGACGAATACATTTTTTGACAGCATTTAGTTGACGACGAAATTCTTCAAAATGCACTGGTGACACAATTTCCTTGAATGTTTTCCATCTTTTGCTTTTCTTCCGTAGCTGCCTATTTAGGTCCCTAGTTAACCAAGCAGGTCGACCAGTTATTTTTTGTACTTTAGGTGGACAACAGCGCCGAATCAGATCGAGTGAAATCGTCTAAAAAGATCTCCAGTCGTCCTCCGGATCTCCCCTGAGTAATTGGTCCCAATTCACGTACAGCAATTCGTTCTTCATCGTATTAAAATGTGCCTTCCATATATTAGTTTGACCCTCTGTTATCTTTTGGCGTTGAGAGAAGAGCGTGTAATCCCATATTAGCGTAGTATGGTCATTTTTCCGAGAGGTGCATTGGAATACTCTTAGTCGATATTACAAAAGTGGTCAGTGAAGACTAGATCTAGACAATTCGCTCTCTGGTCCTCTCGAAATCTTGTTGGTATCTTCATATGTTGCGCCAGAGGCAGATCGAGTGTGAAGTCCAGTAGCTTATTGCTGAAAGATGTTGACCCACAGGTAACTGACGTATTTTCCCAATCTATTGGAGGTGCATTGAAATCCCCAGCAATATGAACCTCCTGGTGGCTAGCTAGGTCTTTGACTAAACCAAGGAGCGACTCATCAGCTTCACTCAGAAGGTTTGGTGGTCTGTTAATCGCCATGAACTCTAGATTTTGTGCATTGGTCTTCTTTATCGTTATCCAGACGGATTCATATTCAAGGGAGAGGGTGTGGGCTATTTCAACTGCCGAAATTCCTGCCCATACATGTACGACTACCCATTCGCTGTGTCTATTTTGACGGTCTCTACGAAAGAGCTGCTAGCCCAGTACCGAAATCTCCGCATCCACGATTTCGGCATTAAGCCAAGTTTCCGTTATGGCAATGACGTCGGGGATTCGTTCTGATACCATCGCTTTGATGTCGACGATCTTCGAAACGAGACTTTGAGCATTGGTAGAGGCATTGGTGTGTTTAACTTTTTATGAGAATTCTTGTCTGACGAAAGGATCTCTCTTCCGACGCCTCTTGTTGCATAAGATATGCTAAAGAAAATCCCGCAAAAAAATCAGTTCTCACTTTCACGTATTGACTATATGAACCGAGTTCCACTTCACGAAGCAGAAACACTGATGGATCCGTATATTTTGAAGGCAAACAAGCTAAAACCTCCTTGTGGCTGTTGTAAACCGGTTGAAGGTTCAATTTCAATTACGTGTGCAATCGGTCTCGTTTTTGGATTTTTCAGCAAATATTCGTACTTCGAATTTTCCATGTTATTGTAAGGTCACACCCTGCCAGCACCAGCCCCCGCCGGCCGCACCTTGCAGCCGCGGCACTATGTGGTTATGACGCGGCCAAACGTGACCATTTGCAGGGGCTAAGGCGTGGCCTTCGACACCTCAGCCAGGTTTGGCCACACCATCCGGAGAAGAATGCCTGGCGGCGCCCCCCCTTCGCCATTCGTCTCCCCCCGTTAATGGCCTCCGTCTTTTACACGCGAGTGCACTCATTCTAAACTGGCGGCCGTCGCAGTAAGATTGCATGTGTCGCGGAATCCTCCTAGCCTCGGCTAAAGCAAATCAGCGATAAAAATCCCCGCGTAAGTTTGCAACCGGAGAACCTAGTTAACGTTCCCTATATCCCACTACACAGGAAAATGGACAGACAATGGTTAGAAAGGACGGTTTATTGAGTATTTACAAATGAGAGGAGTCGGTACGAAAAATACAGGCAGGATGGAGTTCTTCAATAGACATAAATGGACTTCTGGACGATTGTCACTGGTTATTGGCGGTTCCTGCAAAAAAGAACTGGTGTTAAACACAGGTAATGCTTTTGTCATTGGAGTAATTAATAATTTTAATAGCAGGAGAAATGCCATTCCTAGATGGCCTGTCATAAGGAGGCTTCCTACGGGGCAGGCCAGACGCGGGTCCGGTGTTCCTAGTAGTGAATACGTCTGCCCGTTCCCAGACACTGGAAAGTCATGCACACAGTTCTATGTACATGAATCTAATTGACCTCCTGTGGAGCTACACGGGATTCGCATTTAAATGCGACTAGTTTGGCCCCCTTCCCTCGTTGACTGCGGAGATAAGTGGCAGTCCCCATGGCCCACATCATCACTGCCTCGGGCGAAGAAAATTCATAAAACCGAATTGGGGGCAAGCTAATTGGTGTAGTTGTTGATTGAGCTATCGGCGAAAGACGACTGGGCGTCTATCAACCCACCCTAGCATGTAATCATCGCCTCGGCAAACAATCTCACGGCTGATGCAGAAAAGCCTGGATGTCGTCCGTCAAAGTAACTTGCTTGCCCTTATTCGGCTTTACGAACCACCTTGACAGAAGGCAGTAACGGCGTGAAGTAATTAGGGACGCTAATTATCTACGCGGTCAACCAGGGCGGGCGCGGCACTGGTTACAGTAAAATACGGGTCCGACGCAGATCCGAACCCGGTCAACGAGGGCCGGTCAAAGTGAGCTGTGTCTCACTTTTCGAACACTAAAGTAAGGTAGAGATAAAGTGTGTTAGCAGCAGTCCTTTTTCAGTTAACTTACGTGTGTTTCGGAGGGGAAG